CATCACTACATCAGCTATGGATAGATAACTGACAGTGACCTGTATGTTATAAAAGTATATGYCTATGTATAATTTACAACAACGTCCATCAGGAGTTGGGAATTGACGTTAATAGTAAAATAATACTCGTGTTTACAACATTAACCATTATGTTTTTTCACTTACGTAGATTTACCGGACATTTACGTAAAATTGTATTCTACAAGGTCTTTTTCGACATCGGTCGGACTTTAACGTAAATATCATCATTTTCGTCATTGCCCGTAACATATATATATCTATATAATATAAATGTCACGATTAGAATAAATAATCACATACAAATTGAATATGCCTTTTGAAATTTTGAATTATTATATTATAGGTATTGAGAAATATTTACATTTAATAATGAACTATACTGATACCTATTATCACTAAAAATTTCATATTTTTCACAAGTTATATATATTTTTTGCTAGTTATGGTAAAACATAATAATTGAATCTTTCGTTATAGATCTTTTAAAATTTTCGGAATTTCTTCCTATCAAACATAGAGGTACATTATCATTGAGCCAATACCACCGTTCCTGGATGACATATGGGTGCTCATTGCTCATTATCTTCAAAAAGATTCGATAGATTTTCAGTGTCCTGATTTCACGAACCTGATTTCTTACAAGCCAAGTACCCAGACATCTTAGAAACACAAACTAAATGTCGCTTTGTTGTAGCATGTTTTTCAGTTTTTCATTTAGCTAAATGAATCAAAAGTTAAGTTCATATTTTATGAAATATAAAGTTTTTAATAAATACCTAGGTATACTATAAGGTTTGAATATAAACTTACTTTTTGCCAGTTTGAAAATCCTTTTTTTGTCCAAACTTCATCAATAAGTTCATCAGCAAACATTCTACATACATAGCAAAATRCTGCATTGCTTTTTATACTATACTCCAACCAATTATATTGTTTATATCATTCGCTACTAAACGATCTGTTTTGCGAACCAAATCTAGTTAGCTTATAAACCTACAAGATAGAACGATTACAATACAATATATGCAAATAAAAGTATTTTAAATAGGTATTAAAATATTTAATGAATAATTTTAATACCAATGTTGTTTAAAAYACTTTTCAAAAGAATTCRWATAGGTATTTAAATACTTCAGTTAAAAAGTATTAAAATATTTATTCAAATATCTTTGCTAATAAGTATTTAAATATATTCAAAAAGTATTTCAAATACTTTTAAATACATTTTTTTTAGCTTTGTTGTTTTCAGGTTCTTAATTCTTAAAACCAATTAATTTAATTATGTTCAAGTGATAATTTATAACTTATTATTATTAAGCAATTTCTTCATAGTCGAAAAACCAAACTTAAAATCTTGTTCGGAAGGATTTTGTATTTAATATATTTGAAATACAGAAAAAGTATTTAAATATTAAACAAGTATGATTAATACATACTAGCTACTG